AACATTAGCACCTGCCATGTATCAACTTTTCATCTTAATGTAATCTACAAAATGTGATTTTAATAATGGCATTGTATATGAGCCATTGTATATCACACAACATCAGTACATCTGTTGCGCCCCAAACTTCAGTGTACTTTTCCTTGTTTTGTCAGTGATACAGAATTAATTAGACAATCTTTAAATGGAATAAGTGTGCTTGATGTGTTTGAAGTCAATAATGCTATGCTAAAAGTTCTTTTTTTAAATTTATTTTTGAAAATACATTTGAATGGAAAACATTTGGCTTTTTGATTAAAAATCAACACAATACAAAAACAAATCTTAAATACTGGGGTTTTGTTTTGTTGTTTCTGAATGGTGATTCTCACCCACTTCTTTCACCTTTCTTGCCTCTTCTTTCCTCCATTTTACCACTGTAAGGAGGGGAAAAGAAGAGGGTAGAGAGAAAACAAATAACAAAGGCTGTTAACATTTGTTCAGTTTTCAATTTCTTCAATCAAAATGGAAAATTTCAAAAAAATTTAGAATTCTTTCTAAATGAAACATTTTCAAACATATTTTCAAACATACTGATAATTTTTAACCAGTTCTGGTTTTGACAATTCTTTAACCCATTCAAAAGAATGGAGAGCAAACTGCTAATCGGTTCAGGGCAGGGAAAGTTCATCCAGAACTATGGAAAGTTCTCTGGGGATACACAGGTCCCTGCTTTGGCTGCTTCTGTTTCAACTGCCTGGAGTCTCTGGTTGGCTCCTCTCAGCATTTTTTTCCAAGGAAACGTGCAACATCGTGGTCCTGATTCATGGCTGGGCTCCCAGATGCTACCAATAATAACCATTAGAAAATAGTGTCAGTCTGAACTGCAGCTTCCCACTTCTATTTTACGTCTATTGTCAGTGTGTATGACAAAGATTTAAGTCATTTGCGTATACTTCCTGCAAGTTGTTCTTTATTAATTAACTCGTTAATTAATTTTTCTAATGGGACATTTGTTTGATTTTTCCCCCCAGCTATTTTCTGTTGATGTATAATTACTTATAGTAATTTATAGAATGAACCATTTGATGTAGGAAGCTGAAATTCTTTGAATAAGAAATTGGAAGAATCTAATTGCTGGGAAGAAAAGAAAATGGCCAACTAGAATACTGTAGCTGAAGTTGAGGTGCTTATGTCTGCTTACTGTGGTATTTTCACCTTGGTAAGTCGACAGCTGATGCTCTCCCAGCAACTCTGCTGACTCTTCTTGTTTTGGCAGAGTACCAGATTCAACAGGTAAGCATTTGGTGGTTTATTTATCATGTCAATTTATACTAGACATGATAAATCAACCCCCACTGGACTGATCACTGCCCATCAATCTAGTGGGTAGTGGAGATGTGCCATAAATGGGTGCTGAGCTCTTTTGAAAATCTGGCCCTGTGTCTTTAAAGTATGGAGTTCTATGGCCCTAATCCTGCTTTCTATCTTGAGTTGCTCCAGGTTAAACTTCTGGTCCAGCAACATCCGTGGTCCAGCAGGGCCATGGATGTTGCTGGACCAAAGAGCCCCAGAGCAATCCAAGCCTGCCTGGGAACCCCCAGCATCAATGAGGCCAAGCAGTGGCTGGGGAGCCCCTGGTGTCAGTGGGGCCAGGTAGCGACTGGGGAGCTCCCACCCTGCCTGGGGAACCCCTGGAATTAGCAGGGCTATGTGGCCGGGAAGCCCCAGCCTCAACCGAGGAACCCCTGGCACAGCTAAGCTGCCTGTGGCTGAGTGGCCCTGGCCAGAAATCCCAGCAAACTGCTGGTGGAAATGGGGTCAGGGTGACTGGGCAGCCTCCACCGGGGAACCCCTGGCAAAAGCAGGGCTGGTGGAGACAGGCGGCCTCAGCTGGGGAACCTGCGGAATCCCCAGCGTCACCAGGACAGCCCCAGCAGTAAGCTGGGATGGCTGGGTGGCCCTGGCTGGGGAATCCCCGCCAGCAACAGGGCCGGCGGTGCTAGGTGGCCACAGCTGGGAGCCCCGGGGAACAGGACCAGCTGCAGCCAAGGGATCCCCAAACTCTGGGAGACCCTGGGGCAGCAGGTAGGCAGCAAAGTGGAAAGCCCCATGCAGGTCCCGCTTTAGCGGGGGCAGCAGCCATGCAGGGAGCCCCAGGGGGAGGAGCCCAAGAGCAGGACAGTCAGGAGGGGAGCACTGACCTTCCCTGGTCTGACAAACTCCCTGGTCCAAGACAGCTCAGGTCACAAGGGTGCCAGACCACGGAGGTCCAGCCTGAACATTGTAAGCTGCTAAGGTGACTGAGAGATCTTAGGAGTGAATAGGCAGAAAAATCCACGAGCTAGAATAGAGAACTATTGATGTGCAGGTGTAGAATAAATGTACAGTTTGGACCTCCCTGGTCTGGCACCTTTGGAACCTGACTGGTCCCAGTTGAGGGATTTTTCTAGACCAGGGGAGGTCATTTTATTTCTGCTGGCACCCCTGTTACCAACCCCCACAGGTTTCCTGGCTCCCCCCACAGCCCAGATGAGCCGAGTGTCAGCTCTTGGCTCCTTCCAAGCCCTGCTGAGCTATGCACTGACTCTTAGCCTCCCTGCAGCCCAGCTGAGCCATGCTCCAGCTCCCTGTTCCCCGCAGCCCAACTGATCTGTGCGTTGGCTCTTGCCCCGCCTCACAGCCCACATGCCAGCCCTTGGGCCTGCACCTTCCTGCAGTGCACTGGGACTCGGATCCTGGAACATCCATGGTCATTACAAAGCATGGATGTTGTTGGACCTGAGAATTCCGGATTTTAGAGGTGCAACCTGTATTGTTGTCTTCCTAGAGCCATGGATCTGCCCATTACTTCAGTTTGCTCTGATACGCTTGTTTTGTATTATTGTGTGTGTGTTAGAGAGACATGGACTTCAATCCCAGTAAAGATTCATAGAAGCATATAAATTCAAGATTCATAGAAGCATAAAAGAACCTTTGTATGAGAAAGAGGGTCTTCAGAGTATTACTCACAGAGTGAGAGATAATGATTCTTATTAATTAAGAAAACATTTTTTTAAAATACTGAAAAATTAATAACTGTAATTTGATAAATTTACCAAATGGTATGCGAGTAGCAGTAGCATGCAATCAGTGCGTTCTGTGAACTAATCAAAATATTGTTTCTGCATCGCATTGCATTGCATTGAATGTTATGGAACATAGATGGGCATAATAAAGGGCCTTCTGCTCATAACCTTTCTCACACATAGTAAAACCTGATAACTGAGGGTATGTCTACACTACAGCACTATTTGTAATTAACTTAATTCGAAATAGTTAATTCGAATTAAGCTAATTCGAAATAATGCATCTAGACACAAAAACTATTTCGAAATCTCATTTTGCTATTTCGAAATAGCACGTCCACACTGAGTGGACCCTGAACTGAAGTTAAGGCTGGCCAGAACCAGTGCCGGCAGGGCATCAGGTTGGGATTTAGTGTGTGGGGCTGCTGCCTGAGGCTAACTGAGCTCCATGCTTAAAGGGACCCTACCCCAACCCCGGACAGACAGTTCTCAGGGTTCCCTGCTTGCTTGTCTACCTCGATGAGTGACAGCAAAGCAGTCCTGTCTTGGAGTGCCTTGAGTGCCCACACTCGGGACACCACAGCACTCAGCCACATGGGCATGCCAGTGCATCTCGTGGGGTCGTTGCCATTAGTCCGGCTGCACTTGCTGCAGGCTGGCATACGGGGGGTTCATTTGGTGGGTGTCAGG